TGGTGTAGGGTATTTGGAAACTCTCTGTATTAACTTTGCAACTTTTCTATAAATCTAACACTATCTTTTTAAAGGTTATATACAAACGTTAGCTAATAGTTTTAGAACTTGTAGTAAAAGTCGTAGTACTAGTACTAGAGATAGTAGTTAGTAAAACGAGGTTCCTCAGCAGCCTAGAATAGAGAAACTAGTTCGCCTCTGGTTTTTTACCGACAGCACACATATGCAAAGCTGAGCTTGTGTCCACTCGGGGAAGTGTAATCTCAACCTTAACGGTCAGATAGACTTCTACCCAGTTCATGTCTTTTTTAAAGAAAACTTTAAAGGAAGAAAAGAAATCCTTGAATAGGGTCTTTATCTAGAGATTTTATAGATTACAAAATGATGTTTTGAGGACTGAATTAAACTCTCTTGTGAGAACTATATGGCACTTACTCCACATAATTAAATATCATAAAGAGTAAAATATATATAGTAGGGCTTGATTCTAAAGTTTCCAGCTGATACTCACGAAAAAGATAACCCTTCACCATGGTGGCCAAGGACGGGGCCTGCCCACCTTAGACCCTCCTGTTCCCACCCTGCTCTTCTCAGCCATCCCTGTAAGCAGTTTCTCCAGCTGAACACTATGTTTTAATCAACTGATTTTTATGACCTCTTTTCCTTGCCCTCAATATACTCTGCAAAAATGGCTGCCTACTTCTTCGTTGACTCTTTAGCTGCATGGAGCTGACCCTTTTAGGACTCAACACTCTACATCCCCTTTGGCAGCTGCATCTCCCCTTCTGTCCTAGCAGAAGGAATGCCAAGCACCCCACAGAAAATGATGGATTTTGTTATGATTTCCACAAGCTTCCTAGAGAAAAGAGATCGCTCCACTTCTTTCCATGGTCTGCAGAACTTGCACACTAAATTACTTCTGGTCTTCATGCTATGCCCCACTATCTCATGCCTCCAGATGGTCACACACACCCAGTCTCTGCAGTAACACTTGTCCTGCCTCTCCTTATCTTCAGACTTCGGCTTAACTACCACTGAGACCGAATCCTCACTCACCAATCCTCAACCTCAAGTCCAGATCGGGGGCTCTCATAGAACCAAAACTTTCCCCTGTCTTAGCATTTGTCACATTGTATCAGATTATAAGATACATGAAGCTATTGGCAATGTGTCTCTGGGTCACTGTCGAATCCTCAACAGCCAAGACGTTGACTGGTACACAGTAGGAATGCCAATGAATCTCCTAGAGTAAATGAGTAAATTAATTCCTTCCCAATCAAAAATATATGGTTTTATATATATATATATATATATATATATATGGTAAGATCATTTTCCCCTGAAGATTGTTTCATGCTGTTTCTCAAAGACCTTTAGGTCCTGGGGCAGAGGCGTCTGTAAATAAGCAATCTTTCAACTCATTGTGGATCCCGTGCACTTCCCCAGTAAAAATGTCAATGCCTAAAAACAATGGCCCAATGATATTTTCAAATTTGCATTTTTGTCACTTATTTGGAACCACAACAGAAATAAAACTTCAGCAACCAACAGTGAAATTAATTGGGTATGGAAGACAATCTCTAGGGCATTTCCTTTCTAGGTATTTGCTCCTGTATTAAGAACTATTAAAATCCAAGCTATGGCTACACCAAAAACTTGGGAACATTTTAGAAAGTGATTAAGCTCAATCAAAGATATTTGGAATTAACTAAAAATAATTATGAGTGAGATTGAATGTATTCTCTGTTATCCCACTGGAGACATATGTTCCTCCAGGACAGTCTTAGAAACATCACTGCATTTGTTTTATTTTAACACCTCCTTAACATTTAAAAAATGTATATTTCAAACAAAAAGCTGAAGTATATTAAGGACTCATTTTACTAATTAACCAATCTCTATTTAAAAGGGATTTTTAATATTAAAAAATCAAGTGTTTGCAAAAATCCTCTAACAATATGTTGGAGTATTAAAAACCCAGAAAAGGAATACTCGAGGAATGGTGTCTCCTCCAGGATGGAGTATGGAGTGAATAGGGGTCAGCTCCAAGGGAACCAGGTTCATGAAGCCTCCCCTTCTCTGCAGGTGGAGTAAGTTAATCCTTCCTCAGAACCCTGGACTCATATATATCACAAGGCATATATCACAGTCTGCTTATTTTTAATGTATAAAGTCAGTGACTTCACAATGCATTGATATAAGCAACATGAAAAGAGGAGAGAGCCTTACTGTTCGAATCCCCAACATCTAGAAAAGTCCCTAGGATATGGCAAGTGCTTAATAAATGTTCACTGAATGAAAAAAAAAACAGAAAAGGATCATGATTACATATTTTGAAATAATTCTTTCCATGCCTGAATTTATTCAACATTAATTGAGGGCAATCTTATGTCACATACTGTATTAAATACCTGAGGAAAGAGAAATGAATAAACTTTACTCATGTCCTGAAGAAGCTCACCATCTATTGGACAGGTGGACAAATATAACTCATTGCAATAAAAAGTTTGGGGAGTGATGCCAATGTATGCATGGGGGCCTGTGGAAGCGCATGGCAGAGATACTAACCTAGAAACAGATTGCTTTTCTTTGAGACAATGAAAGTTGCCCCCTTACATTAATTAAAAAGAGGTAGGTAGATATTATATGTGAATTCAGTGTTTCATCTGAAAATAGTAGGGGAAAATAAACAGATAAAATTCAACCTTTAAGTTCAGAAATTAAGCGGCAATAAGTATGTTGAAATTATACTTAGAATAGATTAAATGTTTTTGGCAACCATGTGGGAGTAACATGGTAGAAATATCATTAATGAAAATGCAAAAGACTTTCACAGGGAGAGCAAAGTATAAAGGAAAGAGCATGGGCTTTGGCTTAAGCAGACTTAGCTCGAATCCTGGCTGTCACTCACTAGCCATGTGTCTTTAGACAAATCACATATATCCTCTAAACCTCAATTTCTTCATAGGCAAAAAGGAACCAATACTAGCTTACACACGGAGTTAGTAAAAGCATTAAATAAGATTATGTTTACATATCTTTGTGATGGGCCATTAGAAAGACTCAAATGTGATGCTAGCAATCCAGTTGTAAATCAAACCAGGGGCTCAAATATAAGGTGCTTAGTCCTTGGCAAGGAGTGAGAGGATGTTGGTAAGTGTGAAGCAGTGACCTGATATCAGAGAACCTGGAGTACGAGGCAGTGGCATCAGGCAGGGATGTGAGTGATGATGGTGACGATGAAGATGATAATTACTATGGCTCCTTCCAAAGCTCAGACTATTTATCACTGAATTAAGCCTTTAGTTTCCTAGGATCAATTAACGTATTTACTCATAATCTTAAAAGTCAGCTTTGAAAAAGCAGGCTTCCATTAACCTCTTGTCTGAATAGGTCCTCTTTATCTCTGAAAGAAGTCAAGAATCTCTGAAATGTTTTACTTGGTATTATATGAACCAATGTGAAAATCATACCTTCCCACTGAACAACTTCCCTACCCCAGTAAGCCAAACATAAAATGTAATTATCCTACATGCGGTGAGGCAGAAGGACAATGAACAGTGGTCACCCAGGGAACGGTGAGTGAGGTAGAGCTGGAGGGCGTGGGGCACATCCTTAGAGGGTAGGAAGGACTTCAAGAAAGTGATCAAATGGCCCTGGAAGAAGAGCAAACACAGTAGCTTGAGAGTAGGTGGATAGACAGCTCATAGGTGCCATTGCAAAGAAGTTGTAGGAGTTGTTCAAAAACAGATAGTAGTGGTTCAAAAAACGATAAAGGCTATGTGTGTCCCTAAGTGAGAAGTCTTACAGCAAATGATACGAGCAGTTTCTAGAAGAAGGCAGTTACTATAGAATAACAGCAAGAGGGTAGCATTACCCCCACGATGTGGGATTCATGGGGAGTTCCTGGGGTGGACAAGATATGGTTAAGGGTAGGACACAGCCCCAGTATCAGAAGGAGTGCTAGGAGGGGAACGGAAGGTATTCTAACACAGGAGAGCAAGATGGATTCTATTATCAGGATTAAGTACAAGGAGCTGAATTTATAGTAGATACTAATGACAGAGTGAGTATCTAGCTGTGGAATCCTTATTTCTACACTAAAGAACTTTTAAAAGCCCTGTGTAAAAACAGGATCTCTCTCAATGCCAGAACAAGATAGAGGCTGGTGGAGAGGGCTTTAGGAAAACAGCTGAGAGGTTGGGAAGGATGAAAGAGGAAGTATCAGTTCCTTCTATTTGCAGTAGTTTTCAAGTTCAGAACATCTAGAAAGTCTGGGCTGAGGAAGCTGAAATTTGTCAAACTCTGTAAGAGACTATAGATACTAAAAACTTATTTTAAAATATGTAAAGTGTTGCTGTCGAAGGAAAGGTGAGTAAAGATGGAATTAGACCCTAGGTGTCCTAGTGTTCACCGCAGACACTTTTGGTGCCCTGGGTCACATCCTCTGAGACAGACTGTGGTTTCAGCCATGATTTCATGGCTATTGTGGATGGTTCCTGCTTGCTGAGAACACTGCGCTACAGGTATCCAATGTCCCCTGACTGTCTCTCCTCTTCTCTGCCTCAAGGTTCTGTCTAAAGCCCCTAGGAGTTTCCAGGTAGGTGAAACGTGGAAGTACCGTGCATTTAAAGCCCCTAAGGCACCTCTCAACAAAGGGGAGATGGCAGCCAGTAGATAAATGCCTCAGCTTCCCTGTCTCAGGACAGATGATCCCGAAACGCATTATTTGATCCACAGTTGCCCGCAGTGGGAGCTGTCTCAAAAACACACCGTATTTTGGCTTTTCCTCCTCTCTCACACTCTCTTCTATGCCTTTCATCCTGCTTCCTGGGTTCATCTCCCAAATACTGTAAACTGCCTACACTTAAGTCCTTGTCTCAGACTACATCTTGGGAACTAAATGCTGGAGGAGGGCAGAGGCGGAGTCGTTTTATTTTCATGTTTCGGTTCTGTTTTGTTTTAATTTGTGTTTGCTTTGCATTTCTGTTTCTCCACAGGTCACCAAGATGCTGGCAGTGGTTGTCATTCTGTTTGCCCTTTTATGGATGCCCTACAGAACTCTTGTGGTTGTCAACTCATTTCTCTCCAGCCCTTTCCAAGAAAATTGGTTCTTGCTCTTTTGCAGAATTTGCATTTATCTCAACAGTGCCATCAACCCAGTGATTTACAATCTCATGTCCCAGAAATTCCGTGCAGCCTTCAGAAAGCTCTGCAACTGTAAGCAGAAGCCGGTGGAGAAGCCAGCTAACTACAGTGTGGCCCTCAATTACAGCGTCATCAAGGAGTCAGATCATTTCAGCACAGAGCTGGATGACATCACTGTCACTGACACTTACTTGTCTGCCACGAAAGTGTCTTTTGATGACACCTGCTTGGCTTCTGAAATAACCATTAGCCAAAGCTGATTCATGAAGTAGAAGGAAATGGATGATAAAGAAAATGAGAATCTGTGCAGTTATCAACCCAAGAGAGGAAACAGCCAATCCTGGTATGTGACAACAGAGCAGATAAAGTCCTCACCAGTGCTCTAACCTGCTGCCCCAAGACACTTTAACCCGTTAGAATGATTCACAGCTTCCTTCTCGTATCAAGAAAATGTATATCATAGAAAAACTGAGCAGATCGGTGAAAGACCCAAATGGTGGAAATTTTCCATTTAATTTGAGACTTTATTTTCTGGGGCTGTGAAGTTTAGATAAAATCTAGACATCAGTTTACCTTATTCAAAATAACTTTATCAAATGTATTTTCTCACCCCTCCCAAATTATTTATACATGCAGTAATTTGGCAACATGAAAATTTTTAATGTTTTCATTTAGCATTTCATTTTAATAAAGTACAGTGCTATTTTCATGAATATTTGAAACTACGGGGGAAAATAGAAAAAAAATTTGAGGAGTAAAAATGAGATTTCAGACAAATATATTCACCATATGAAAAAAAAGTCATAATGCTTATAAAATTCTGAGTTGATTTTTATATCTTACAAAGTGTAGATGGTGAGTCACCATTCAACTTTAATGTAAATAGCCAAACCCCAAAATAGCCAAAATTACTCACTGAGAAGACATGTACATTTGATATTTAGATAAATCCAGCTCTGTACTCTGCAAGGCGTCTAAATGATGGGTGAGACAGGAGAAATATCAAGATTGAATAACTGTGAAGATACATACTAACATATAATTAATATTGAAAAGTAGCCAAGACAAGACCAAGTATTCAAAATAAGGTTTTACTTCTTCCTCTGAGACTTTTAAGGAAGAAAATCCTATTTGAGCATTTGAGAAGAAAATCCTATAAACTACTGAGCCATGTCAAGCAAATCCTTCTAGCTGAATCTAGCTAAAAGTCTGAAACATTCTCAAAAGCTTACTTGCTATTCTAAGTCAGCCAAAGGCTAACTATTACACTTCCAGCTGAAGACTCCCCACTGAGCATTGTAGCCTATGGATTTCAACTTGTCTGCAAGTGTCTTTCCTTCCTGCCTGCTTGTCGTTTGTAGGTTCTCTCTCTTTTTTTTTTTTTCCAAATGCTTGTGACATTTTGTTTACAGATTCTAAATCAAAGCAATGCAAAATTTCGTTGGCTTTATTTCCAATAGAGCTAAAACTAATTTCATCTCATTATTAATATCTCTTTATAGTTATGACTAAGGCCTGCTCTTCTATTCCAGTGATTATTAGAGAGTTGTGAATGTGAATCTGTCAGGTCCTACTTTAATCCCTTTCAATCGACTCACCTGCTAAGATTTGGCCAAGTGTAAAAATCGTCCTTGGTGTCGGTTCAGTAATAACTGACTTTTTTTTTTTTAACATCTTTATTGGGGGTATAATTGCTTTACCATGGTGTGTTAGTTTCTGCTTTATAACAAAGTGAATCAGTTATACATATACATATGTTCCCATATCTCCTCCCTCTTGCATCTCCCTCCTACCCTCCCTATCCCACCCCTCCAGGCGGTCACAAAGCACCGAGCTGATCTCCCTGTGCTATGCGGCTGCTTCCCACTAGCTATCTACCTTACGTTTGGTAGTGTATATATGTCCATATCTCTCTCTCGCTTTGTCACAGCTCACCCTTCCCCCTCCCCATATCTTCAAGTCCGTTCTCTAGTAGGTCTGTGTCTGACTTTTAATGACTGGGTCAAAAAGTACTGTGTACTTCTAAGTGCCCCATAGACTGGCATTTTCCCTTTCCAGGGTATATACTTATCTTGTGGATTTTTCCCTGAAACCTAATTGCTAATGATAATTACCCACATAAACACCTTCTTTACGAAGACTATATCACTCTATTTTTCAAACTTCAGTTTTTAAATGCTTCTTCATGGAGACTCTGCCACCCAGAACCTCAGTCCCGAACATGCTTTGGTGAAAATTGCCCTCATCTACTCCATGAAAACATTCTTATCCTGTCACTGTTTCCGTAAACAAATGCAAGCAAACACTTACAGGAAATACACTAAAGGTCTATATGCACGGCACTAAGAAAACTATTTAACTGACTTTTCATCCTGGATTAAATATTAATTTTGGGATCATATAGATAGAGCACTAGAGTGACCCAACCCCAAATCACACATGCACGTATGCAGGTGCATACAGGTACATACACATGGATGCGTAAATTGCTTATCCATGGGGATTGGAATATATTAGATTTTTCTCATTATGGAAAAGAACTGATATCATTGAGCATCTACTCTGTCTCAGGCATGCTGGTAGGTACTTAATCAACATTATCTTCATCACAGTCTCACTACAGCTGTGATTTTCTTATGATAAGACCAGGGATCAGGAATTAATTCCCTAAACTGTATAGACATTAGGGAAAGAAAATGAAGAAATGTCTTTCTTTTTTCTTTTTATAAGCCAGCATGCTGATTAAAATTCTTGTGACCTGATGGCTTAAATAATTTTAAAAATATTCTTTGCAGAGTGGTAATATCAGATGTTGAAAAAAATTATGATTAGTTTTATATGTTATACACAGAACACAATATACTCTTCCCACCTTTGGAAATTTAATATATGGGCTCAGTTTTTGTTTTAATGTTTAAAAAGTTATTTGCTAATAATCTGTTAGTTTTAGACCACGTGGGAAATTCAAAAGAACACAGTTCATAGCGTTTCAACTCGAAAGCAAATGCCATTATGAAATTAAATGTTCCCATGCAATATCCAATAGATATTTGGGTTTACACAGCAGAAATATAACTTTTTAAGGTATTCTTTATCACACTGTACTAAATCATAAAATATTGCCATAAATAATCAAAAGTTAACAAACCATCAAATGAAAAATAGATTAAAAATTGCTGACGGAGTGATGTTATTAAGGCCTCCCTTAATAAAATTCCTTGAGCTATTTTATTACTTCCAGTTTCATTAATTGCTGAGTGTCTTTGGTTAGATCTTGGACCTGAGGTAATTAGGTAAAGGGCACAGATCATGAATAAAACAAGCAGACATAAATTTCCTCTTAAGACTTCTCCATCAGTATTATGAGTTTAGTTCTAGAGCTTCACTCCAACACAAATATTCTAAACGCTAAAGAGAAATGAGAAAAGTGAAAACTCTGTAATCACTCTTAAACAGGCCAAATGCACGGAACAGTACACCTTGACAATATACCCAAACACATGGCTGATTTGTGCTAAACAGCTAGTTAAGTCAAAGAAAACTATAGCCATAAAACTTAGGTTAGTGTAACTAAGTCTTAAATAGATACTTGAATTGTTTCATTTTCACAAGAATGTGTTGGAGTAATAATGACAGTATGTCATAGTAAAGCTGAGTCCACATGGTTATGGACTTACTCTTAAAGAATAAGAGTTACATCATTCCAAACTACGTTAAATCTATAAACATGAGAGAAGAGAGAAAAGATTAACTTTGGGGAGGAAAAGGAGGTTTTAAATAGCTTACCCATGGCTCTATGAATTCTATAAATAATATATGCAACATTATTTATGTCTCCCAAGTGCAGCTCACAAAGGGGTTGGACGATTTGATCATGGAGTAAGGGAACTGGATGTGAATGGTGGAACAGCCACAGACAACCAGTCCATCCAGGCTAAAAGGACATTTATTTAAAATATTTGGAGTCACTTGTTCTCCTTGGAAAAAGCAGAGTATGGACATCTCTAGCAATGTGTTTTCTGTTTATCTGTAGTTGTCCACAGCAAATAACCATCAAAACCAAGATTTGGCTGAGCGAATATAAGTTTTTAGAGTGATGCACATGAAGAAGTCTTACAGCACTCTGTAGTAATAAATATATTTTTCTCTCCTTCCCCACCTCCCCTATCAAACTCTTCTCCCTCCGCAAACATGGTTTTCCTCAGAGCAGCCAGTTTTATGTGACTTTATTCAAGACTAGACCTGGACATGAACTATCTTAAGTGTACTCTCAAATATATGTGATATGTATGTGTGTGTGTATATATATATATATGTATATATATAGTTGCTCTGAACACTTGTGTGTTTCATAAAATCATGTTCAAATTGTGGAAGAACTGATGCTTCTAAAGTTTCTGTTTATCTCCCAATTTTCATGGTGGGGAGTCATGTGTAGAGTTGAGCTGCTCAATGTTTTTTCCCTCACAGATAAGTGGAAGTCTGGCATTTCAGAGCTGCACTGAGAAACCAATAAAAGAATACTCCATATGTGAAAAACTGTTGCAGAAATTTAAGAAAATAAAAGGCTCTCCCCATTCTTAAGGATTTCACAATGCAATGAGGAAAAACTAAATCAATATAATATCATCTCAAGATATAACGTTTTGGCAATATTTAGAACATGAATTAGAAACAGAAATGTTTTAAAGAAGCAATTAAGATCGTTCATGTATTATGATTCTATTTTATGAACTATAATTAGAAATATTGATTAATTTTTAACTTCATTGATCACACGGGGGGAGAAAGGTCAGATACAGCTCTGTAATATTTTGTTTTTATGTTTAGTCTGTAATCTCAAGTCACTCAGCAGAAAAGCTCATTTACGAGAGGGCCCACTGGGGAATAGTTTTGTTTCTGAGACGGTTAGAACCAAATGGACTACGCTGATATAAACTAAATCTATATGGTTCTGATTTTAATATTCGAGTAATCTCTGTGAAAAGAATTGCCAAGAACGTTTGTAGACAGTGTTGTCAGGCTTGTTTACATTATTCCACACCGAGTACATTTATGGCAAATCCCACATGAGGTGATTGGTTTATATTTTAGAGATTACGTCTGGAAAAATTAAGCTGGATGAAATAGTTCAGCTGGGACAGCACATTGTCCGAACTGTCAAATCTGGATCCTGCAAGGGAACAAAAGACAGTTTTATGGCCAATAAACAGCAAATCCACACAATGATCACCTGTATATCCTCGTGGAGGAGCATCTGGGTCAAGTCCGTACTACAGGCTCTCAACTGAAATAATGGAAATAAAAGCATTTTGAATGTTATACAAGTTAAAAGGATGGGATTAAAAACAACGGAGTTGGCTAGAGTTCCTGCAACTTATTGAGCCTCTAAGCAACACCCATAAGTGAATATTTCATTCCTCGCAGAATAATGGACTTAATTTTTGTGCATATGGTCGTTCTCTGACTTGTAAGAAAGAGAGAATGAACTTTCTCAAGAATGTTATGAACTGATATTGATAAAGATGGAGACTTTCCAGAACAGAAAAATAAACACAACATGGCAGTAGAATAAGATTGAACTTAACCACAGGTCTGAATTTAGAAGACAATTAAGAACATTTTCTGTATTCCTGAAATGGCACAAAATGCCCCAGTAAGGAGGCTAAATGTTTACACCTTAGCCAAGAATAATAAATCACTCCCACTTTAATATACATAAGAGTTATCTGGAAGCTTATCTTTTTTTTTTTTTTTTTTTTTTGCGGTACATGGGCCTCTCACTGTTGTGGCCTCTCCCGGACCGGGGCACGAACCCATCCCCTGCATCGGCAGGTGAACTCTCAACCACTGCGCCACCGGGGAAGCCCAGGAAGCTTATCTTAAAATGCACTTTATTTGACGTTGCCCCAAGATTCTTATTAGGTAATTTTGATCCCTGGAGTCCTCTGACCATACCTTGAAAACCACTAAGTCATAGCCCCCAATGTAGACCTTCAAGGCTCTTTAATATCATAATTCTTAATAAACAAACTACATGAAAAACTCCTTGACAGTAAGTCTATTTCATCTTTGTATTCCACAAATTATCTAAACTTGGATGATGTCCCTAAGTATCTGGTAAATGTATGAATAAATCAATGAATTGCAAGCTAATATATTTTTTAATTTTCTGCTAATGTCCAATTTGCCTCTAAATCTTTCTACACAATAAGATAACTAGTTCTATCTGGTTTTTATTTTTCTAAACAGTTCTCCCAGCTCAGTGAAAGGCACTACATTAAGTGTACTAGATGAGGGTCAGAACAATTCCTTACGTATGTGTAGTGCTTGACAATTTCAGTAGCACTTCCACATCCTAATTTAATAATTCAAGACTAATGCATTGCCTCTGCCCTCAAGGAGATTACAATCTCGTGATAACATATTAACACAGAAACATAAGAAATACAGAATGCATAATTGGAAGCCAAATCGTGTGATTTCAGACTACAAACAATTGAACTCTTCAGAGGTAAAGGGACATCTTTGGTGCCTGGAGTCATTAAGGATAACGTTGTAGAGAACACAGGACTTCTTTCAAGGATACGTTTGATTTAGATAAAGAAAAGACAATACATGTGGGAGAAATAAGACGAGTGAGGTCAGGGAGTTACAAATAAACATTAGCGCAAGGCTCTGGACATTATGGATACGGGTCCAAAGTATGTC